CGCCATTGCCTAGTTGCAAAGACATTGCACAAGTAAGAAATAAATCTTACATGCTTTAAGCCATCGAGAGTTAAAATCATCTGTTAGCTTAGCATAACACAACTTATTCTGACTGATGGAGGAGCTGAAAGATAATCAAATAACTGAAAAACAGATTTATTATAAATCAAGTTACATACATTAAAACTGAGAATATCATATAAAAGCACCTACAGTCTCCTTAAATCTCTGGGGTATGTCCAGCAAATTTCTCTATTTTCATCGACTAATTCTTTAGTATTTGGAAATCATATCATTGTTTATTTGTACATACCTTATAAGGTATGTAAACTGTATCATTTTATTATGCCAAATTCATTATTTCATCCATTCAAATAATGCTTATTGAATACTAAGTATATGTCAAATGTTATTTGGAATTCTTTCCCACTTCATACTGTTTTTGAAACCTTGTGATGAAAACATGGAAGAAAAAGAGGGAATATACTCTAACATCTAAGGGGGAGATATTTAGGGCATGGATTTCAGTTTTTCTTTAAACTTCCTATTTGCAAGATTATCAGAGAAAATGGAAATTATTTCATAGGAATGGCCAGGAATTTCCCACCATTAGCACCTCCTGCTTTCTCACCTACAAAACAGGTAGAAATGTTGTGGACATCCATGTGGAGTGGTGGCTGAGCACTGGCAGTGTTGGTAGACTGACAAGGCTTGAATTGGGGCATCATACCTGGATGATGGGTGATTTCAGGCAAATGGCTTAACCTCTGCCTTGCTTTTCTAAGCTATAAAATGGTAATCATAATTATGCCCAATTCGCAGGGCTGTGTGAAAGGTTAATAAGGCAATGCATAAATGCATAAAGGGCTTAGAACAATACCTGGTACATGCTAAATGCTCAGGAAACATTAATTTTAACATTTTTAAGAAGTGTCTTTCATAAGTGATGACTATGGTGTTCGATGGCAAGTTCCAAATGTCACAGAACATGTCTGCTTTGTCACTATTTTGTTTTTAATGTCTAGCTTGGTGCTTGGCACAGAGCAGATAGTTAAAAACATTATTGAACAAATACAGAAGTAAGTAGGGATGATGAGACCAATTCCCAGTTCTACCTTGTCACTGTTACTGCCCCCTGCACCCACTGTGAAATGGAGAATGTGGGACAGTCAATGTCCGAAATCTCTGTGTCTTTTGTAAAACTGAAGGATGATACAAATGTGTTAAAAATCTGAATCAATTATATCACACTTTTGAGAAAAAGGATTATAAGAACCTTATAACATAATTTGAGCATAATCAATCTACTGGAAAATAATCAACAGTATGGAGACTCTTCTACATATTTATTTATCATAGCATGTTCTATTTTGAAAAGGCACTTAATGATGATATTTTGTTTCCTCAAAAAGGGAAGTAAGTCTTATTGGCACTAATGTCATCACTCAGAGATATAACAGTTTCCTAGGAGCTCTGAGGAGAGGGATGGATAAAGAGTAGTGGTCCTCAAGTGATACATTCAACTTTTCTTGGCTAAATCTATGAAGGCTTTTATGTGAAGGACAAATGCATGACTTACAGGTACACTAATCAAAACCACTGATGTCTTAAATCTCAGAACTCTATAAAATGGGGCAATAATTCCTACTCCATTGGGATTATCATGAACGTCACATGGAATTACCTGGCAAAGCACCAGGGATGAAGCAAATTTTTCAATAAATAGCAGCAATTAAATAGCATGGGACCTTCCTTACAGATGTGTGTTGCAGTGATTCTTCTGGCTGGTATTATCCAGTATATAAGCTGCATGACATGGGCATTAGATATGCTAATGTAGCACCTAGAAAAGACAACAGGAAAAGAAATATATACCTTCTTATTACCCCTTTTTGTAGAGTGCTGGATGTTAGTTGGGGAAAAGAATAATGTTTAAACCTAGAGAAACAGCTGGGTTAGAAAACAAGAAAATGGAAAGGTAGGACAGCATAGTGGTTATAACTACTACCTAGCTGGCTGACCTTACATAATTTCTTTGTGTGTCAGTTTTTCATACCTAAGAAAAGTTGAGATAGGAAACTGAATGAGGCTGTTACGAAGCACGAAAGAATTAATATTTGTAATAGCTGAGAACAATGTCTCGGTATAGTCAGCGATGTGTAATTGATAAGAATGTGATAAGAATGGCCAGAGTTAACACAGAGTAGCCTGTTAGAAAACCTTGGGAATAAAGAAGGCCACTTGGGCATAGTGGCCTTCTGTCGCACAACTGGAAAGCTAGCAAGCTTATTTATGTTTTAACAACCTGGGCTTCCCCAACATGAGAGGGGAAGTGTAGCCACAATGAGAGTTGATGCACATTAGAAATGACAGCAATGGACCAGAGCTAAGACTGAAAGCAGCCCCAGTTGAGACTGGGAGTAACAGGAATGTGTACATAAATAATATGATGCCTCTTGCTAGAGGCTTCCACAGAAGTCCTTAATTATTTCAGTGTCCTCTTAATAATGTAAGTATCACCCCAAGGCAGAGTTACTTGAAGGGGGAGACTCAGTTTTGTTCACCATGGAATCCCCCTTCCACAAATGTTCAGTAAGTGCATGTTGAAGTGAAGATTAAATGAGTAATAAGATTGGAGTTGTAATTACTGAGCATTGGACCCCCTCCTGCAGCCACCTCAGTCCATGGCGCCTCACTATATTAAAAAGCTTCATGTTAATGTATGGGAGGGGCGATTATGGTCTCCCCATGTGAACATGGCCCTTGAGTAGAATACTGTAAGTCTTCTTTGTAGTGGTGGCCTAAAGCAACCCAAACTAAAACTGACTAAGAAGCCTTCTGCTTAGGGGTTTCCTCCAGTCTCTTTTCTCAGTTCATCCACAAACACTTCCAAGCTGGCACAAACAATACTGAGCTCACCAGCTTTGCAAATGAACTTTCTTACTCTCTAGGCATTCATCTACCAAATTCTCCCCTGCGTTTTCCTCTCTCTTATCCAGTCCTCTCACTAATTTCACTAATCTCTCAGCCACCACCTCCATATCACTGCAAGATAAACCTTCCTAAGGTATTTTTTCTTGACCTGTTCAAGATCTAGGCTCTTTATTGCTTACTTCTACCGAAGATGCTTTGGTTATCAAGACCCTTCATCCGTTGATCCTTCTCAAGCTGTGTAAGGTGCATTTAATTATTTATTAAGGTTTACATGCAGAATCTCCTGTTCTATTTATATTAGCAACCCCACTGAAGTTGTTCTCTCATTTAAATACAATCTCTAAAATGTTTGCTTCTATATGCTTTGCCGATGTTTCCCTTTTGGAATATCCTAATCCTTTGGCTGTTCAAGTATTAGCTCTTTAATTAACATTCTACTCTAAGCCACATGTGTCAGTGTTAATATACAATTATATTATCTCGTGATTCACTCTCTCCTGCACTTATGCACAAGTGTTCCTTCCCAAGAAAACTATAAATTATATGAGGGCAGGGAGTTTATATTATTTTTTACTACCCCTTTGATGCAACAAATAGTCACTGAGTCCTTGTATTATACCTGGCAGGGTACTAGGCTCTGTAGGACAGTGATGAACCATAGTTCTTGTTCATAATATGTGTGCATGAGTGTGTGTGCAAGTGATATTAAAAATTACATATAATTATTTAATTAGAAACTCAGGTACGCACCATGAGGTAAAAGCATGGGGTGTCTTAAGATCATGACAAAGCTACATATTGAGAAAAAAAAAGCCTCTGAGTTAAGATAAAGTACAAACAAACAGGCAAATGTCCAGGGTCCTAAAGAAAGCTGGCTCCTCAGAGGAATTGAAAAAAAAGGTTGATATTTGTGAACACAAAGGACAGGAGGTGAGTCCCATCAGATGAGGCTCCTGAAGTACATGCTGAGTATAGTTCCCAGCATCGTACCAGAATCAAGATGTTCCTAGCAAGTGAGGCTAAACTCGAAATGGTCCTTGAGAGTCATAACGCATGATGGCTGAGGTCATTTCTAAAATTTTGTTGTCTGTATAATTGGAATTTTCTTTTTTTAAAAAAAGATTTATTTTTACTTGTTTATGTACATAAGAACTGGGGTGTAGGCCAGAGATGCAGGGAGTGAGAGGGTTTAGAGACAGAGTGGGGAGCAGAACAGGCAGATCTACTGAAATACACTGCTGAGGGGAGCAGTGGGCGAGACAGGAGAGGTCTGCTGCACCATGTGGGTAGCTCCCTGGCCAGGGCTCGAACTTCTGCTGCAGTGGCTGGCTATAGCTTGATAGTGCTGAGACTCAACCCCTTGTACCACCAGAGAGGCCCCCTATTTGGAATTTCCAAGAAAAAAAATCCTGACCGCCCAAAGTTTAAACAACTTATGTGCTATGAAAGGAGTCAGGATGCTCAGGTTACTGATCTAAACATGCCCCATGAGGACGCAAAGTAAAAGAAATGACTCTGAAAATGTTCCACGTGATGTTAAGTATGAGAAGACCAGCTTCAGATTTTTGTTTGTTTTCTCAAGTTTAATAAAAAAGGCATGGGTAAATGACACTATGATATAGATTGTGGTCTATTTCTCATTATAAGTTTGATGCCAAAATACTTTACACAGGCCACCTAACAGATGGTAATGTATTTCAGCCATTACCAATGTGAGAAGGATTCAAACCAGTGACCCCAGAGGTGAGAGGTTGTCTATCCAATTACAAATCTCCACTTTCCTTAAGTGTTAAAGATGCCTAGAGCAATATATTTTATTTACATCAAGATGCATTGTATAAAGTATATTTGATAAAAGAGATGACTTCACGTTCTCAACTTAAATCAAAGAATGCTTACTTAAGTATTTTTTTTTTAATTGAATCACACTTTAATGCCATCGTATAATCTTTTGGTTAACAGTGCTCATCTTGATGATTCTAACAAAGAGACATGGAAATTAATACTTAAGTTGTAGAGCTTATGTCATCTATAAAAATACACATTAGAAAACTCAAAAGTGTTACCTGGGACATCTGTGAAGGTTTCTCCAAGGACAGATACATGGAAATTGAGTCCTAAGTCCTTCAGATGCATTAATACCTTAAAAAAACTCTCTGGATCTTTATCGTGTTCCCTGGAAATAAATATAAAAATTATAATTTGTGACACCTTAGGGTATGTGTTAGGAAAAGCGTTTTTACTTCTCACAGCATCAATTCCTTTCTTGGTCTATCGTTAGTGTGAGGAGGCTCCGGAGTCCAAGTAGACATCTTCCCCTATAGTCTTACATTGTAGCATCAGCACCATGTGATTTCAGGAATAGAACTTCTCTCCTAGTGAAGTCTTAAGGCTCTGCAGTCTTTTATTAAAAGAGAAATCTATCATATTTTTCACATTTTTTGGTTAGACTGTAGAAAGTCTCGCATATTTTCCTTTCTCCTCACGTGGTTAATTTTCCACTTAACTCACGTTTTTAACAAAAGAAAACACTAGCCTTCAAAGGATGATTCTCTACTGATCATGAGAATGTACCAAAGATGCTTTTCATTTCCATGAGTTTGAATACCTTCCGCTCACATTTACCAGGGCTCTTTGAGCACACAAGGAACACACAATTTAGGGAGTGAGATTACAGACTCTCTCACTAATCTCTCATTTTAAATAATTGAATGGAGAATTATAAATACATCAAAAGGGGGTAGGCCTGAGTCTAAGTCTGCTGAGTATTAACGTAGGGGTGGAGGTTAGTCAACATATAAAAGAATAGTAATAAAGATAATTCTTTCATTTAGTAGAGGCTTTGAAAAAACACAGATTATTTTTGTTTGTTTAGCTTGTCAGTCTTTTCTGTAATGACAGAATGAGAGGCTAAAGGACAGTAAAATAAAAAAAAAAAATAACCAATTCAAGAAACCACATTAAAATGGAATGAGTTATTTTTTACATTCTAAGGTGTGAACATTTCAGTATTTTTTGCATTTAATTACACTGTTTTAAATTATCTTATTTCAGACAGATGTGGGCCAGATGTCTTCAAAATATTTGTCTTTTTATTTATAATTCAGAATTTTAACTTATTTTTATATTACAGAGAAATAGTTATATATCAGCAATTGAATTTCTCATTTACTAACTAATTATGTAAAATAAATCTGTAAATTGATCAAACTGCTATATGAAATATGAAAATTACATCATTCAGGAAATCTCATGAAAAATGACATCTGCAACCCTAAATGTGTTAATTCACAATTCAGTCAATATTTTCAGTATCAAGAATTAAAACAAATGCATCTTCTGATTCACATTTTCAAACAGCATTTATAATCTTATGGAATTATAAGATCTTATAGAATTAGAGTTGTATAACAATTTTAAGCTTGATCTCTCTCAGTTTCATTTACTTCAAATAATAAAGAAGGCAATGGGAAAATGCTCATCGCTTTTTAAGATGATGCACATTACATGCATGTACCATTGGGAAGATCTGGATAGTACTCATATACAGTTCCGCTGTGGGCAGGAACAAAGACTCAACACAGTTTGAAAGTAAAGAATACGCCATATGCTATCTTTAACCATATCAATCAAAGAGCTGCCACCTAATCTGTAATATGTTCTTTTAGTGTGATTCTCTTGGAAATACTTAGATGAAAAGAATGGAAACAATATAATATATCTTAAAGAGGGAGTAACACTTTAGGGAAATCTAGCCACTGAGTTCTCTAAATTTTTCATTTTGTGTTCCAAAAATTTTAGCTGTGGATCTTTAAAAGAATATCTATTGTAAATAATTTCTGCTGGGGTTTTTTGTTTATTTTGTATTAAACTAAAAGTACACATGGATTGGGGTTGGAAGGCGGTTAAATCGGGTAGAAGCTGCAGTTCTTAAAATATTTCAGTGTGAGTATTTTCAAAACAGCAAGCTTTATGAATCTATATTTTCAGTGTTCCTATATAAGATAAATGCATTGCAATCCTACTGTATTCTTTAGGTATTTTTTATAGTTGGACAAAAGCTTTCATATTCAATAGTCACTTTGCATAGAACACAAAAGAGATTTGTATGAATCCCCTCTCTTTTTGTTTAAACTATAATATATGGATGAATGTAAGGTGAGATTTTTTCTTCCTCCAAATTATGCTTCAAAATAAGAGGCATTTTATACCAGAGTCCTTATAAATGATCTTATAATATCAGAACTTTCTTAATTACTTTATTTTGAACAAAATACAGTTTAGGGAAGTTGTATTAACCTGAAACATTTTGGATGGCTTTAGCAGTCATTCACTTGATGGCACTATCAAAAATGGAAGCAAATGAATTTAATACCAAGTTAGTGACTATTTTAAGAGGCTGCAATTTGAAATGCTGGATGTTGTTGAAAACAAGTATCTTAAAGATGACTAAAAAAGAGTAAGTGGCTAATGGAGACGGTAAAGTAGGTTTCTAGAGTTGGTAAAAGATTTCCAATGATGGCATCATGCATTGTTTCACAAGTCTTGCATTGCAAAGCATTTGGAGTGAATTTCAGGTGAAAGGTGGTGGAAATATCCCAACTGCTTGAAAAGGTGGTATCTTTCTGATGTCAAGGATGCATGGGAGGGGGATTTGGGCTAAAACTGCTTCATGAAATAGGGGTGGGAAATAGAGTAACACTTTTAAAAATATTCTATGTGCTTTGAAGTATTATTTATCTAAATTTAATAGATTACTTATTACAAGTAGACATTGGACTATGTCATGTGTCCCTCAAAGCACACATAGTCAATCTTGCCAAATTTTTTTCTTGGTTTTCTCTTTAGAAAAATGAGAAATTGCCTAACATGTAGCCAATCATTAAAGATGTGCACAAATATTTAGTCACAGCCATATATTAAGGAATAGGTGATACTTGGCGGCAGAGCTTAATATATTTTTGTCAAGCAAGAAAGTCAGTCTAGCTATCCAATGGGTCATCCATGGGTCATATCCCAGCACCCATGATATTAATGAATACATTTAGCAGAACATATGAATCTGTCTTAATATCCTTTCTAAGAAATCTAATGTGAAGCTCGCGTACTTATGACTTTAGCACAAAGCATTAACTATAGGCTGGGGGATTTATAATTGAGTGCCCCTTTCTGCCAACACTATCAAAATTAAACTCACACTTAATAATATATTCAATTCTCTACAATCACACTTGTAGAATTATGGGATTCTAAACACTCTTCTCCTCTCATCCATTGCTGGTACAGATGTAAATTGAAATAATATTTTAAAGGGCAATTTGGTAATGTACATAATAAACCTTAAAATGTACATAATTTGGTCCCAGTAATTCCAATTTAGTAAAGTTACCTTATAAAATAATGAAAAAGGTGCACAGAAATTCAGCTAGAGTACGTTCATAATAGCATTGTTGATAATGGCAACCATTTGTAAACAACCTAATGGGATAATAAGGAAATATATTTGACACATACACATGATCAAATATCCAGCCATTAAAAATAATGTGGATGTGTATTTCGTAAATGGAGAAATATCCAAGAAAAACCGTTATGTAAAAGGGAGGTGCCAGAGTAATATGTATTATATGATCTGTTTTTGTAAAACAAAGACGTATGTGCCTAGGAAAAAGTTTGGGATGAACTCTATTAAATATTAACAGGGTTCATCTGTAGGGAGTACATTATAAATCTTTTTTCACCATTTTCCATGGTCTTTTTATTAATTTTTTGATATAAATCATTTTAATGATCTTAAGGAATCACTCCTCCAATATCCTGATTAAATTTGTATTTATGGGAATTTAGCTTAACTGTAACAACTTTAGTATTTACAGCAGCCTAATTTCTCATTTCCTGTAACCCTCTACGTTTGACAGCTGCCCACCAAGTAAATTTGATTCATCGCAAAAGATCTAGAAGATGAGTCAGAGTCTAAGCATCTCCACAATTCCCATACTTCTGAGTAGGTAAGAAACAGTCTGGCTGAGAACCTACTCCTCTGAAGACCGACTGTGGCAGAAGAGACCAGCACAGAAATATTTCAGGCTTACTAGAAGCAGCAGACATAGCAAGAACAGCTTTTATTCCCAAATATTATTCAGAACATTTGAAAAGCATAAACTGTTTCCATGTGTTTTTTCTTCCTATATCTGTTCTCTCTCTGTTGCCTTTCCCATTTAGTTTTTTAGAGCTAAATTTCTTCTTATTCCTCACTTAACATTCATCCAGTAAATATTTATTGAGGATTGCTAAGCACTCCATACTTGTCACTTATACGAAACTGCTACCCTTTCTCATTTCCCTACATAACTTTACACTTATTGAATGCAATCTCTTTGATCTAGTTCCTTGTCTCATCTGGGCAGAAGCCTGGCTCTTCACTGATGCTACAGCTTTCCCAGTAGTGCGTCACTCATTGACAGCCCCACAGGGGAAAAATAAACGATGTCTGTGTTGTTCCCTACTAATACCAAATACGCGGTGTCTAACCAAGTTGTGGTAGACACCACTTGTCACAAGTGGTCTTATTTCCCTGTAGGCAGAGAAAAAAAGACTCTTTCTTCTTCCCGTTATAGTAAGGGAGAGACCACGGGACTAGTTCTAGCCAATGGATTGCAAGCAGTTGATGTATGTCACTTCCAGGCAGAATCAACTAAAAGAAGTTCTGGATAGCACTATTTCTGCTGCAGGGAGTCTTTTGAGGTCTTGTGTTAAGTTTGTTCGGTTGAAAGAATGAAGCAATTGCCATATGGAGGAGAGGTGCCCTATAAAGCTACTTACACATGTAGCAGACTTCGAGGTGAATGGGAGAAGTAAATTTCTGCTGTGTTAAGCAACAGAGATTTGGATAAGGCAGGGGGTTTGGGAGAGGGGTGGTCTTTATTATTGCAGCATAATGTGGCCAGTGCTGATGAAGGCATTATCTGTGGCAGAAAATTAACTTCTCTAAAAATATTTGTTGAATAAATGAAGGTGTGGGGAAAAATGAATTACATTTATAGTGTTCCTGCTATGTTCAGGATCCCATGCCGGGCACCTGATCATAATCTCACTTAAGCCTCTCAATCTTGTGGTCATACAAGCATAATTATCCCCTCACCTAAGATCACACACAGGAGATTGAGTCTGCATTTG